ACCCCTAAAATCGGTTTGTGGGACGGCTTCCTTTTGATCTTTTTTTTTTTTTAATTACTATTAATTGATGAGTATATTTTATTGTAATACATTATACAATTATTATAAATTCCATACGATGCACGGTGTGTGTGTGTGTTGAAACATGTGCGCGTTTGGCCCACATTATCTATTTTTATGTGTGCATATATTATTATTATTATGCCTCGCTCCGGTCAATGATGAAGATGAAGATGATGATGATAGATAATGAGAATATTATATAGTTCAATTTTCGCCCACGCTTTGTGGAAGTCGTAAAACGGTCCAATGGGTTTGTGGAATGTCGGAATTTCGTGAGCTGTTGATGAAGGAAACGGCTACTATATTATTGTTATGCGATTTTTACGAGAATTCCAATAGAGCATGTCATTGTTTTAAATAATAAAATATCCTTTGGCCGAGACACAACGAGCTAGAACGCCAAAGAAACGAAAAACCTGTCATTTAGCTCTTTGGGAAATCTGTTTAAACAGTTTGTGTTTTTTTTTTTTTTAAAGTTATTGTGTTTTAATTCATTATTTCGTATAAATATAATATACATACCTTTGTATAGGTAGACAATTTTTGCATACGAATAAGAAGAATTTGCACAACACTGTACCTGTCTTCCCCGCCATACTATTGTGGTGTATTGTTCTAATTACTAACCTTAGAGAAGATTGTAGACAAAATAATTTCTTGTATTCTTCCATCAATAAAAAAAAAATCCCTTTAAAGCGTTGAAATTATTTTTTAATGTAAAACAGATTTTATTTAGGTATATTTTACTTTATTTTTTAAGTCAAACTGTTATATCTGAAGATGATGTATTGATGTTGACAGTAAACGGATAACTAGCATAATAAATATATATATAATTTAAATTAAACGCGTTTTACCTTTTTATTTTTCATCGACTTCTTGTAAATACTTGTACTGTAATTTTTTTTAGTAGGTATTTTTTAAAAACGATTCGATTTTTTTTTGTATTCTTTTTTCTAGATTCACACCGGGTAGGCGTGTTAAACCGTCCAAATAGACACATTCAGCAAAAAAGTCGCATCTTTTCCTAGAACATAATTTTTTTTTTTTCTACTCGGCAGGTCGCGATTTAGCATAATATAATATATTAAAAAAATTATTATTATTATTATTTAGTCGTACGTTATAATATAGCTGCTACCCATCTACTTATAACGTCGAAGAAAAGGTCAGATAAGTCTTTATTATTCGTTTGTACAGCGGTTGAGATTTTTTGCTTTATGCCAATTCACCGACGGAGAAACAGCCGTTTCGTTTTAAACGTACTAAAAATGAATAATAATAATAATAATAATCATTGTGTCGTTTATTTTTAGAAAATATTTACATTATTATGTTGATATTGTACTACAACCCGTGGGCGGGCTATTTTAAGACGTTTTTATTAAGTACCATAATATATTATTATATTTAAACATTCAATTCCGCGTTTAATGACAAACTGGCATGTTATTTTATAATGTAGTGAATAATAATAATATTCAAAACAACAAGTACACCGCAACCGCAGTCGTGGTCAAAGCGGTTATTACCGGATTGTGGTATGACACGTGGGAATTCCCCATAAAGGCGTTTTTGGCTACCGTTTGATGAGTTAATAACTATTATTATTATTATTGTTAACAAGAATTACAATTATTTTAGAGTTTATAATTATTATTGACTTGTTATTTAATTGCATTCGACTAAATTCGTGTGAAATAGCATTATAAATATTCGCATCCACTCGTTTCTAAATAAGATAAACAAATCAATCAACACACAAAAAAAAAACAAATCATTCTTTCACAATCAAAACCCAAAAATTTGTTCTTAAAACTTTGTGTTTTGGCGCCAAAATTTAACGTTTCAATTAAGTTATTTAGAAAATACGGTAAGTATAACATCATCATTACTATTTATGCATACTAAATTCATACAAAATATGTTTGTGGTTAAGAGTAATAAAAACAAGACTTTTTAAACGTTACCAAAATCACATTCAGTAATTTAGCTTCAAACTTGTTTGGGATATTCATCAATCAATACACTCCTCCCCAAAAAATACCTATACAGCACACCCCTTATTTGTCCTAGGAGGGGTGGAAATATAATTATTATTTTTCGTTTTAAATCTAGTAAGACATACTTTCAAAAAAATTGATTGTAAAAATTTAATAAAAATATCTAAATATTGATATAAATTATATATAAATTAATATAGGTATACTTTTTTATTTTTTGACAGTAAATAGTCATAGAAATAGTATACATAGTGAAAGCAAAACTTATTTCATTATGTTATTCTTTTGAAAAGTAATAAACATATAAACACACTTTTAACATATAAAGCTCCCATTTTCCACCACCTCCCCCTTTGTATAAATACATAAAAAACATTTAAATATAAAAAAAAATCTGAACAAGTAACTGATTCTAATTTTTACATCTCAAGTTCTAAGGCTACACCCGAAAAGTGAAATAAATAAATAGTTTCTATACCTACCTTTTCTGGGGCAAAGCGTTAATAAGTTTACTTTGGGGTTTTTACTGTAAATTGACATTACTATATTTTAAAAATATCCTACACGAGTTTGGAACTAATTCGTCTATTTTTCAACAAATTACTATGTTAAGACCAACAAATTATAAATATTTAAGGTTTTTTTTCGATTTTGAATGGGAATAAATACATTTTTTTCATTTTTATCCTTGTTGTTTACCTTTTGGTAACTACTAATACCTAATTTACTTTCCTACATAAGTAAAAAAAAATACAAAAATAATCCCATTTTTAAAAAAATTAAATATGTCTTTAATTAATAAAATAAAGCTCGTTTCGAGTTCTATTGTTAAGATAATTTAGCCGCAGACAAAAGGTTTAACGACTTGCCGGTTTTAAATATAGAAAAAGCTATTTGTGTTAGACATTGGTCAATAAAAAATACATTATGTTAATGTACGTTTTCTAAAATTACCCTAATAATTAATTCGACTCGTTGTTGCATTTTTTTGTAGGCATATTCCTATCTCGTTGCTATTAGCACAATATATATATATATATAAATATATACCTAGGCACTGTTCACTTAACAGTACTATAAATTAATGAATTTACCAAAATGTTAAGCTTGACGATAAAAAAGGACTTATAATATCACTAGGACTTACATTATTAGTTACTATATGTATATCTGGTTTTAAGAAAACAAACAAGTCAGTTTTTTTTTGCTATGGCTGAGAAGTGTCAGGTACGGTCTAGGATTTTCTATTGTTTTTTTAAAACAGTTATTCGTTTAATAAATTGCAGTTTATGGTTAAGGTGTGTTTACAAATGTAATCAAAGTATAATATTATACGGGGGCTACGTTTAAGGGGCACAGTATAGGCAATTAGTACTCTAACTAGGACACTTCATTATAGTAGGGTTTTTTTTTGTCACCACTTTAACTACAATAGCCAAAAATTAACCATAGATATGGGAGAAGGGGCTTAACGTTTTGGTAAGTCTATAGTATCTTTTTAAATATGTATTCCCTTCCAAAATAATTGCTTGTAAGTTTGTAATTATATATTAATAATATTATATAAACCTATATAATTATGTAAAAAATATTTTGTTGTTACAGTATGCTTTACAACCATTGTGCGAAAAATTGCCTATACCAAACCCCTTAGAAATAGATGTAATATAATTTTCTACAATATTCTAACATTAAGAGATTAAATGTATTTGAAAGCAATTTTAACAACACTTGTATGTTTCTATTAATGTCCCTTATAGAATTGAAGTAAGTAAAACTATTTTATGAGCTATCGCGAGTAGATAGAACTTATACATTATTTTACTTATTGAAATATAACTAATAATATACTATTTATACAAATTCTAGACCAAACAGCTATAGGCAACAGCCTTTTTATAAAGAATAAGAAAATTAAATATACCTTTTAAAAAACTGTTTAAGAGTAGTCTATGAAATCAAAACAAAATGTGACATTTTATAAGACAATAATAATTAATAAGTATAGCTATTAACCTTAAAAGTGTGTTTTTAATATTTACATTCTAATTTATCGTTTTTATCAGAAAATTTACATTGCTTGTTTTTTAACCCAACCGACAAGTCCGCTACAGATAAATACATTGTGGGTTAACCGTACAATTTCAATTTTTCTATGAAATTATTTCCATTTCGAGTACTTGACAAAAAAATAATGGTTTACCATATTTTATTATTAATCTTAAAAAAAAAATAATCAGTCACAATTTTCAATGCCCGATTTAAGACGTCGTATCATTTTTGTTTTGTTCAGGCGACTGGCAAGGTTATCATGGTTACTTATTTAGAAATTTGAACAGTACATGACATTGACTTATCAAAATCTAGTAATTAAAGCATAGCGATAGTTTTTAAATTGAAATTTTCTCTAATCGAGTAAATAGTATAATATACATTTTAATGAAGTGTAAAATCAACAAAAAATTCTAGAAAAATAGACAAACAAGAAAGTGTGTTTCAGTTTCTAATATCTTACACAATATATAAATTAAAAAATTACTGAATAAAAAATCCCTACACGTAATAATATTAAGTTACAAATTAAATTCTTTGTAAATGGACCTCGGTCATCTTAAATCTATTAATTTGGACAATAACCAAGTTTGTCGTCGCTACGCGCTGATCCAAAGGAAACTGTTATTCTTATACTATTATAAATTTGCATAAATTAATAATATGTTCTCAGACAATTAACACCCTCATACAAAAAAAAAAACAACTAAACTATATTCTTTTAGCGTTACGTAGTATTATCGTAATTACTAATATAACATTTATTAAAAAAAATATAATAATAATACCAATAAAAAAAAGTAACTGTATTACAAAATTGAAATCTTAATCTAAATGATTTTTTTTTTTTGGAATATTTGTTACAAAATATCTTAACCCTTTTTTTCTATTAAATACAATCGACGCGGTCACTAAAAATTACTTACAAAGATGCTCTTATAATCTAATATTTTAGTGCGAATTAAATGTACAATAAAAGTAAAATTGAGTTATTCAAATTATAAAATTACCAAATTCGGATCAGATCAGTCTTAGTACAAAAATTATTCAACATTATTCTTATTGTCACAAATGGTGCTTTTCAATACTGAAATAAATAAGTATTAACTGATCCACTAAATAATAATAAACTGAAGATAAACACAAATACTATGATATTGTATTAACATAACATTTTTTAATGTTTGACTGCTTATAAAATAGCTACAATAAAAAAAAATCAATACATTTAATCCGAAATAAGAATTTAGGCAATCTTTTAAAGGAATTTTTTTTTTTTGAGTTTATAAAGAAATAAAAAATATTACTGTTTTGTTTTCCCTTTTATTCTCTCCAATTGACGGTCAGCGGTCCGCGTTGTAACCCGGAAACAGATACAACAATGTGTCGGCCAAATTACTGTTAACGTCCATCGGGTAGTTCTTTCCTAACTCGGCTCTACAAGACGGACACTGGTATACTTGTGCACTGAACGATCTTTTCAGACAGTCCTGTCAATGAGAACGACATTAATTAACCGTAAACTTAACTCTTTAGATCAACGATAAATCTACTTGATAAGACAAAATACACGTAATAATATTTTCTGTCTGTACTCACTTTACAAATATTATGAGAACAGTCGGTCGTGATCGGTTCGAAAACGATTTCCTGACAACATATGCATAGAAATGTTTCTTCGACTCTGTCCAAAAACGCCTAAGGAAATACACAATATTAAAGTACATCAATGTAAATTTTAGTGTTAAAATGTCACAAATACTTTTTTTCCTTTTTCCAACATTTCTTTGCAATCGTCCCAATATTTTTTATTAGCCGTATCGGCCGAAATAAGCGCAGTGGCTTCTTCTTCGAGTTCGTATTGTATCTTTAGTTTTTTGCCCGGACATTCTTGGTCGTCTCCACTCTCCTGAGCGCTGACTGACCCGCTTTTGCACTGTTCGTTCTCCACGATTTCGGCTTCTTTCAGAGCTCTCTTTCTCTTCGAGCCCGGCAATTTATTTTTAGGTTCGTTCACTGCAACTGGTATGTAATTTTCCGGAATCTAAAAAGCGAACAATTCTCATTTTACTATCCGTACGACGGTTTTGGATTTTGGTCAAAAGCAAATTACAATCGTTTTGAGACCAAGTTGAGCCATTCGTTTTTTTCCTTCTTCGGTCCACGGAGCCGGAGCTGGGTCGTCTCGTCTCAGAACAAAGCGCCACACTTTAAAACCGGACAGCCCGCATTCTGGATAATATTTAACCACCTTGTAAAGCCCGTCATACCTGAGAATAAACATCAATATGCTCAACTGTTTTAACATAATATTTTCATTAATGGTAAAATTGTATTTTGAAGGGTAAAAAAAAAATTACCGATTTCCAGTTTCCGGAGCGTATTTAGAATGTTTGCTGAGCTTGTAATTTCTTACAACGCGGACGGGTTTCCCATTTTTCCAATCGGCGGCCGTAGCACCTTTTTCGTCAATTTTCGCATTGCAGTTGAGAGCTAAGGCTCTAAAACAATTATTACAATAATGTAAAACATTTTGTTAACCCTTTTTTTTTTTTAAATATTAACAGATTTCAATTTAATATATACCATACCTGTTGTAGCGCGTCAACTGTTGATCACAGCTCTGCAAAGCTGTACGTTTATTTCCGGACAGGTCACGTCCGCCCGAGCCCGTGTACAAGAACTCGTCCCCGTTGTCGACATCGTCTTCGTAACCTCCGCTCAATACGATACTGAACGCCCCTTGGTTGTCGCGGCCGTGTATTCCGCCGACAGGAGGCCGGTGGATGCCTGCTTCCGAAACCTTTTAGTAAAATAATTTTAATTTACCGACAAATTCAGTTTAATAATATGTGTTTTTATGTGTCGCTTTAAACGCGTTCTTTTCAAACACCGATGTCGACTAATCAAGTAATGGCTTACTTGAACCCGGAATAACCAAGAAGTGCCGACTTCCACTCCGGGGATAGGTCCGAAATGATTTGACGGTACAATATTACATTTTTTTGTTCGACCAACACAAGCCATGCCCTTGCCCCAGTCTCGAGTGGACGTCGACGTCATCGCGGGTGTATTTTTTTTGGATTTTTTCAACTTGCCGCCAGCTTTGACAATCTCATTTTCATCGTTTTTACATGACGGACAATACCTAATGGCAATTGAATTTATTAAAGAAATGTTGAACACAAATTTTAAAAAATTTGCCACAAAACTTATACCGACCAATCGTCGTCTTCTGGAAGTTCCGTCAGTGGCGGATCAAGACAGGTCATATGGTATGGATGATTGCACTCGTCACACATTAACTGTTTGTCGTCATTGTCCTTTCCTCCACAGACACGACATCCGCAATCCTTGCAGTTTTTATCATCATCGTCTTTACACTTGATACAGAATAACGCACCAGCTCCTTGAGTTGGAATTATCGTAACAAATTAGTGTATGTTTATAACAGGGGAAAAACATTGTATTTCAATATTTACTTTCCGTAGTGGGCTTTGTCTGCATGATTTCATCGTCCTCTGCTGTTCTTTCCGAAAGTAGCTTGTAGGGCTCCAGTTGGAATATATCGTCGAGAAACATTAATTGACAGTTGTTCAAAACCGCATTGTCTGCACCGACAGATACGTCGCCAACAACGGCCCGACCTTTCCTGGTGGTCTTAACTTCTTTTACCAGCACATCGTACCAATATCCACGTTCTTTAGGATATTCTGCATTATAGTTCATGAGAACGTGTTCGCCCGGTTTGAGTTCGGTAAAAGGCAATATTTTGTAAGCGTGTGGTCGTACTTCTTGTAGCTGAACTTCAGTTGGTGGCTCTTCGGGACAACTAAACAATAGCATAAAAAATAAAAACAATATTATTATTCAATTTAAATACACCACCAACGACAGTGCTCGAGTTTTTAAATGCATTTACCCATCGATCTCAGTCACATAAATGAGTCCGTCGTTTTCGACTGGACTTTTTGGATTATTGTTCTGATGACTAGGCGCTGGATCTTTTTTTATTTTTATTACTTTAGCTATAAACCAAGAGCCGTAGTGATAGTCCTTAATATCTACGTAGTCACCAATTTTAAAATACTTAGATTCGGTAGAAGCGTCTTCTTCGACGGCTGTATCCTAAAAATCATATTTTTGATGTTATATTTTTATTTTCTACACGCAAATAAATATATTATTATTAAAAACAACAACATACTTGATCAATAGCTGAACTCGTGGTTGATACGTCAGTATTGGTTTTTTCCTTTTTTGCCTTTATAGTATCTTTAGAATTTGGTTTGTTCGATTTATTTATTTCCGGAACTACTACTTTTATCATCAGTTGAATAACATCGTTTATATTAATATTGTAGTCAAACAATCTATATTGATCTTCAAGCTAAAAAATAAAATATTTCAAATTAGTTGATTGCAGTTGTTTAATAACCAAATAAAATAGCAAATTCATTACAATAAAATACTAGAAAAAAAAAATATTAAAAGAAATGATATGATTAAAGAATGATACGAGAACAAGTAAAAAAGCCATCCTCTTAATCCACAATATATGTTCCAAAACTATTTTTGAGGAATAAGCCTAATTCTAATAATATCGGATAAAGTTACATCGTTATGCAAGCTTATTTTAGGAGGACGATTGAAAGGTATTGCGGCAGTGAGTAGAGCTCATTGTGGTTAACGTTGTGCAAGTCAATGCGTTAATCCTTGCAAGAGATGACGTAGCGCTCTTTTTATTCAATTTGTCGTCAAAAAGATAAAGTGATTTTTGAACCATTTAAATTTCCTAATGGCTGATTAGAAAAAAACTATAATTTAGCGTAAACAAAAAGGTAAAATATTAAGTGTTATGTTCAACTAGAGTTGTTAGATGTGACCGCCGGTAAAAGCGCTACGAGTGGGCAGATCAAATAATCGAGAGTGTTCTCACTTGTTTGCCTGCGAAAAACAATCGTTGCTTGTCGGGCGAGACGTTGCATTTTTCTTCAACGAGTTTCTTGAACTCTTTGACCACCATCGTCCTCGACGTCGGTATCGTGACTGACACGCCGGTGTCCATCATTCTCACTTGCACGTACATGTTTGTCTGAAACGATAAATGTCGATAAACCACGTTGGCGTGCATTGTACAAATATACAACCGATTGACAACTCAAAATTATATATTATAATAATATAGGTTTTACCTGGTAAATTCAACAGACAACACCAAAGTTTTTACAGTAATTTATTGAAAGTAACGTTCAACGTCAAACGGTATTCGGACGGCAGCGGTTGGCCGACGAGTTCAACACAAACCTCTAGGTGTAATAATAATTTTCTAACATTTTCATATTCTATTTTGTTTGGCTAAAATTATTTTCTTACACCTATTTGTCACTTCACTAAGGTGGAAAAAAAATTGCTTACTTAAGCGTAGACCAAGACGAACCATGCACTATCAAAGTACAATGGTACATTGCGTTTATTTTATTATTTTCCATTGCAAAACAAATTGGCGGGCAAATGCCGAATCTAGTGTGCGGTTGTATTGTACTTTGTACGATTTTAAGTTAATGGTTAAAGGGAACATGTCATGGAAGAAAACCCAAACGGGCCGCTCGTTCCACTGGAAACGACGTTATCAGTCTTATCACTGTTATCACTTTGAACGTCAGATTCAAAAATCACATCGGAATTTTTCAAAATTGTAAAATATACTAATTTGCATGTCTAGTTATTCGATTTAATGCAATTTATTATATGATTTCAATCATGAAGTGAAAAAAATTAAAAACCATTCCCCCATGCCTCCGCCGCAGCGCAAATGCAGAAAACGGTCCGCGGGATGGAAAAATGTGTTGGACGTTTTGCCCGCTCTGTGTTTGTCCGCCGTTACTTACGGTTTGTTGAAATTCCCAGTACAACGACAACTGGGATCGGACCGAGACTATTATTATATAGATGAAGAATTTCACGTGCCCCAAGCTCGACATTATTGTTTGGGCGATTTCCAAAAAGTTAGTATTAGTGGTTTTTTGTTTAGGCTTCAGAAATGTACATATGTATACAGATTATTGTTAAATATTTTATTCCTGACAACCTAGGTTTCTTTTAAAATTAATATTTAATATTCTATTTTTTTTTTTTATTTCAGTGGGATCCGAAAATAACAACGTTGCCTGGCCTTTACTTGTTGTCGGCCGCTCTGATAGTTCCAAGCGTGTGGCTAAATCGTACTCTATTATCGTTGGTAGGACTTTTCTACGAAAACTCCAACAAGGACATCATCAACCCTTGTACGTTAATGACTCTGCGTGCTGTAAATGCAATCGGAGCGCCGGCATGTTTATACTTGAGTTATCGTCGTTGTCTTCGATTGTTGTTACAAGTGAGTTTTGTTTGAAATTCAATTGAGAACGTAATATATAATAATAATTTTTATGTTTCAGAAAAGAAACGGACAAAGTGTAATTTCGGAGTGGACGATAATGTTTTTGGCGATGAGCGTAGCTATATTTCCAGTTATTTATGCTCCGTACTCTTTTCTTTATTACACAGACGCCTGGGCTACGGCCTCGGTTTTCCTGTGGTACTCGTTTCACTTGGACAAATCGTCCAGTTTCTGGTTAAAGATAGTTTTGGCCATGTTTTCCGTGTTGTGCCGCCAAACCAACATAGCGTGGATCGTATTCTCTACTATTGTGGACGTGTGCCGTTGCGCTGAACAAGTATACCCTCCGATACAAAATAGCGCATCCATAACTTTCTATATTTGGGTGAGTATTTTTTTGGATTTTTTATTATCGTATTATACAAAAATATTTATCAACTTTTTTTTTTTACAGACTTGTATTACGCAGATTTTCTATTTTACGTGGAAAAAAAAGAATGGCTCTAGAAAATGGTCGACGCTTATTAGAACCTGTTGGCACGAGTCAAAATCAAATATCGTAGTCATCGGTTTGTTTGGCTGTTTCGTTATTTTTATCAACGGAGGCGATGTGGTCGTCGGCGATCGAAAAGCCCATACACCAAGCGTACATCCGATGCAGCTGTGCTACTTTGTGGGCTTCACGTTAGTTTTTTCTGTACCTCGATTGCTATTGACGTTTTATAACCGTATTAAAAATTCCAAAAACCGACTGAAAACCATTTGGTTGTTTAACGATAATATGCGTATTGACGAAATGCCCAAAACGACATTCATAGCTCTTGCAGGAGTGTCGACCGCTTTGGTTTACTCAAACACCATAGCTCACCCTTACTTGTTAGCCGATAACAGACACTACACGTTCTACGCTTGGCGATTACTATTTGGACCCAGCAAACCCGTATGGTTAAGGTATTTACCTGTGCCGCTGTACGCCTACGGGCTGTACACTGTGGACTCGACATTGACGCGATTGTCGCCGGCTTATAAATTGGCGTACTGGACATCGACTTCAGTCGTCCTCTGTGCTCAGTTCCTCTTGGAGCCACGTTACTTTGTAGTTCCATATCTTGTGTATCGATTGTATACCGATGGCAATGAATACAACAACATTACGTGTAAAATGGCCGTCTTTGAGTTTGTCATGTATTCGTGTTTAAATTTAATTATCATGTCGATATTTTTGTACCGTCCTTTTACATCGACCATGGACGATTCTGGCCGTTTAGATAGATTTACCTGGTAGAAACAAAATTCGTGTTTAAATATTTATAAAACCATACATTTTATTTATATTATAATACTAAATTATTATTGTTGCAAAATAAAATATTTTTTTACCATGTAAAATTTCTGTGGAGTTTTTAAATTTTTTAATTAGGCCAACGATAATCCGCATTTAATAATTGGTGTAGAGGTACTTAACAGAGAACTACTAGAGAGAATATTAGAAAAACTATTTATATAATATTATGTATTTTATATTAATTAGTACAAAAAATGTGCTTACAAAAATTCTATAATGTGCATAATGTACATAAATTACTACAATTTGAACAATAAGAAATATTAATAAATTAGCTAAAAAAATGCATACAAATGTACACATAATTGTCTTGACACACAAAAATGAAAGTGAATAGAAAACATCTTTAATGTTTACAAAAAAAAATAAAAAGCTTATATCTAAATGTATACTATAATGATTTAATTAATTTCTAGAGCGTTTATATCGGGTATTTGACACAAATCGGTCTGTAGGTTCGATAATTTTCTCTTTAGAGCAGTTACACCCATCAAGACTATGTTTTCTGGTTTCAACGCTCCGCTGCTTTCTACGTTGAAGAAAAACTTATGCGGTTTGCTCCTCCAGTTGAATGGACCTTGGTGTTGACCTTCACCCAACTCTGAGTATTCGCTTTTTGGCCATTCGTCAGGCTTCGGGAACAGCGTGTGCCGCATCGTGTTGTCGGGGTCGTACTCAAAGCTTACACCGGTGGTCGGATTCCACTTGGCGTGCTCCTTGCCGAATCCCTTGCGGGCGAAAGCCCGCACTTTTAGTTCCTGACCTTTGCGTAACTTGACAATCAGAATGCCGTCTTGTTCGCCGTACTCGGACACGTCCCTGTCCCGGGACGTGACGGGTATTACGTTGGGATGGTTACTGATCAGGTCGGAGGTGGTCACGTTCCTCGTCTGATCGCCGGTACACTTGACGTGCAAGTTGAACTCGACGCTGCAATCCTGACAGAACTCCAAGCACGAACAATCCCTGGAATACTGTAAGCGGTCGACCACTCCGTCGGATGTCAACGGCACCAAGCCGATGCGGGACGCTATGAACTCATCGCTCAACACCGTGTTGTTGACGTCCAGCTGGACCCAGTCGATAGCCAGAGTGGGCGTCTCGGCGATGAACACCCTACGCAAGCTGTTCGCTACGCTCAGGTCGGTGTCTTCGATTTGGAATTTTATTGAATCGGATGTCACGTCGGTTATTTGTACCGAAGGTACGTTGGCGTAGGGCATTGCGGATTTGGTTTAAAAATTAAAAACAATTAATAAAAATTTAAAATCACTGTCGAGTCCTAGTCCGGATTTTCGATAAAACCGTCGTTCCAGTTGAACAGATTACAATAAACTAAATTAATGAATTAAATAAAATCGTTTATGTGAAATAGCGGTGATAGTTAAACTACAATATTCGATAAAACAACAAAAACAATAACGGCTTTTATACGAAGAGCGTCCCAAGCTAAAAACCGATCATTACTGCGATGGCCGACGATGCCGGTCGCCGGTAAAACTACTGGTGTTGCCAAAATAACAACCGCCCAGTGTTGCCAATTAAAAAAAAAACCCAGTACAGTGATGACGGGGAGATCGCGGGGCTACAGGATTTATTATAACTGAAAGTGATTAAATCACTAACCAATAAGTACCATACAAGTGTGCGATTTCTGATCTATAGAGTTGCTACACGAAGAAATCGGTTCAGCGGCTTAGAAGATACACACTGGAAAATAAAAACACATCATTGTTAATACAGTATCTTCCTGGTAAAACCCCTTCGGGAATCGCAATACTCTTTTTGATTCACTAATTTACACAGCTTGGATGTGATTAAGATTATTGTGACTATTATTATAATTCAACTCCTTAATAGATATTGGATCAAGGCCCCTTAAAACGCATACTGTTTTATAAGTGTTAGGGTACAACAATATAGCAGTGAAGTAAAATATTTCATATTAAAATACTTCTTCAAATAACTAAATCATATTTCAATAAAAAATAAAAAAATTTAATCATATTTTGAAAAAAACAATTTAATATATAGCACATACAAACATGTGTATATGTTCTTGGCTCTTTATAAATTAATGCAGCGCCATGGTGCCAATCTAATATGTAATTAATATGTATTTAAGTATTTGTAAAAAAAAAAAATACACTATAATCTACCTATAAAAACAGACAACAATCAACAACGAATCTTGTAGTTTTAAAAATAAATTTTAACAATAAAATATAATATAAAGGTACAAAAACCGATTGTGTAATATATTAAATTTAAAAATGGTAACAATTTTATATTCCAACTGTATAAAAAGTCAGGTTTCCTTGAAATGGCGTTGCTATTATAATATTAGGATTTGGATTTTTATTTACACACTAAAAACAACCTAATTATAAAAAAAAATTCAAGTTTTATATACTCAACAACATGATTTTAGAACGAACGTAAACTACGTTCGTAAAAAAAAACATTTTTGTAATGTGTTGTATATGTTTAACAATTGAGTAATTTTCTGAAATTTATTTTAAGTATTATTTCTTATTATTTTATGTTTGATTAATTCAAGTGGTCTACAAATAATGCAATAGTGCAATTAATGTACATTGCAATTTGTAGTAATTGCAAATAAGAAAATTTATAATTTTGGTTTTGTAATTAATGTAACCACTTAAATTGAAAAACAAAAACCGGCCAAATTAGGTTTAAGCAAAATAAAAAAAATGTTTAACAAATTTTTTTTGTACAGCCCATTTCAAATTTTATAATATAAAAATATAACAAATAAAACACAAAATATGCTATTTTTTAACAATTTAAAGTAAATGCCTCGGTTGTTTTTGGTAAAAAATTAAAACGTAAATACATCAAATCATAAAAACATAAATATATAACAGAGCTATTGACTAGTCCATTTTGCATTATAAAGCTTATGATCAACCTAACAGTCACTGCCTTGCCCACAAAGAGTACTTAAAAATATGCATTGAATAAATTAAAAAATATATACAGTTTTATATAAACAATAAAACGTTAATAATTTGTTTTACATACTAAAAGTTTTCATTGTAAAATTTTGAATTCAAAAGATTCGTTAAATAGTTAATATTGGTACTTTAAAATTAAAAGTTCCACAGAAAAATTTTTTGGGAGCAGATAAATGATATGTAAATGTTTTTAATAAAATAACAATTTTAAAATTATTACGTCATTGTTTTATTTTACAATTATTATTTTTTAGTTTTAGAAATACATTTTATTTATTTTTATTGCAGGAATAATTTTTACTAAATAGAGCAAGGTGGTAAAACGATTACAAAATTAACTTAAACTGTGGATTAAAAAACAATGAATATATATATATCACAGATTTAACTTCTAGTTGAACAACCGACTACATATTATAAAAATAACAAATAACGTCTTATAAATATATTTACAGTAAACAAAAATAAATATCAGTCTTATTTTATGAAAAATTGACTAGTTTTGGCTGACGGCCGATGACTGTTCATCTTTTTTCTGCAACTCTACGACTACCACTTCAGCCGTTGTCAATAATGATGCAACACCTGCAGCGTCTTTCAAGGCGGTTCGAACGACCTAATATAGAAATCATATAATAATTTAACTGTCACTAATACACCACACAGGTTAATACTAAAAAAAAAAAAATTAATGATTTTTTAAATCCAATTTATGTCTTATTAGTTGGGGGCACACTCACTTTAGTGGGATCGATAATTCCTTTTTCGATCATGTTGCCATACTCGTTGTTTAACACATCGTAACCGTAGTCGTCTGTACCGTCTAATACTTTAGCGACCACCACACTTCCGTCTACGCCTGCGTTTTGGGCGATCGTCATGCACGGCATAGTCAAGGCTTTACGTACGATTTCAACTCCTATAAAATTGATTAATCGACATGTTATTACGATATTATCGTTCTATAACATTATATTATAATCATAGATTAAATACACTATAGACAAACAATGCCCATGTTATGATTGGCAATTAATGATGGGAAGGGTGGGCATAGCTAAACACAGAATAAAACATAATATGTGATGCACCGGTAGGCATATATGTTTGAAATCCATTCTAAGCCTTTTGACAGAAAAATTAACTACAAAATGAGATTCCATATTATGCATTGTTTATCAATATAATTATTAACACCACGCTACTAACCAATTTTTTGATCGTCATTGGACACCTGTAAGCCGTCCAGTACAGTACAACAACGGATCAAAGCGGTGCCGCCTCCGGCAACGATACCTTCTTCGATAGCAGCACGGGTCGCGTTCAATGCGTCGTTTACTCGTTCTTTTTTTTCTTTAACCTCCACTTCACTGCTGCCACCGATTTTCAGTACAGCTATACCCGAAACTAAACGAGCCAGACGTTGTTGCAATATTTCACTTTTGTTGTTATCGTTCGCTTTGATTTCATCCCGGATTTTTTCGGCACGGTTTTCTATGTCTTTTTGCGAGCCTTTACCCTGTTATGTAATTTTTTTGTTAATAAGGGCCTAAACAAATGGTACATATTTTTCAAAAATACAATTACCTTCAGCAGTAACGTATCATTTTTGGTAATGACGACTTCCTTGACCTCACCAAAATTATCGGCCACAATGTCTTCCAATTTCAATTCGTTTCCTTCTTGTCCAAATACTACACCACCAGTGGCAATGGCCATATCGGTCAACATGTCGTTGCGGTTATCGCCAAAGCCTGGTGCTTTAACAGCGACGACATTAAGGCCAATTTTCAATCTTTTTAAAAAGAAACAATGTGTCATTACACCAAATAGTTTACTGCGCTATTGTATTATCAGTCGAATGTAAATTGATTTATGCAATTCTTCTTTAACTTCAACAAAAGAAATATATATGTATTTAAAACTAGCAGTTTTGTAGTTATTGTTGGTTATTTTGGTAGCAATGTATGATTAACATAGGACATTTTTTTTTTTTTTAATTATTCCAATAATGTCCAGCTGAATCCAACAGATGTTAGGGTTTTTCTAAAGAATTTAATTGAGATTGTTCATTCCCTTTTTCATAATATAAGTTACAATTTTAAATTAGATTATATTACCTATTTAAGACTAGCATTCCAGTTACGTCGCTGTGAAAATCTTCAGCCACGATAACGAGGGGTTTGCGTTGGGCGTTGGCCAATTCCAAAGGACGAATTATCGACTGTATAGAAGAAATCTTTCTCTCGCTGAACAATACCAAAGCATCTTGAAATTCCACTTTGTCGCCTAAAACACAATAAATTAAGTAAAATGGGAATACTAAACATATAATTTTTTAATTATGTCATTCAAAAAGTGTGTAAATTTAAAATTAAATATTTGTCCCATTTCAACAGGCTTGTTTCAAAACAATTAAGTCTAAACATAAAATCTACATTATACATTGTATTATTAAATTTGTTATTTTCATTCATTTATTTACTTTTTGCATTAGTGACGAAGTACGGCGACACATAACCTTTATCGAATTTCAATCCTTCGATTACTTCCAATTCGTCGTCTAAGGTATTCCCACTCTTAACCGTTACTACACCGTCCTTACCTACCTAAATAGAAAATAGCTTACTTATTATCACTATTTTCTTATATTTAAATATATAATATATTGAATTATTTTTACTTTTTCTATCGCAGACGAAATAAGTTTTCCAATGCTAGTATCACCATTAGCAGAAATAGTTGCGACTTGAGCAAACTCATCAGAAGTCGCTACTACTTTAGAAACCATGCCCAAATAGGATTTCGCTGCGTTGATGGCTAACATAACGCCTGAAAAAAAAAAAATGCATACACATACCAAAAGTTAAAACATTATATTAACGGGTATAGTGCTGATGACAATTTTACCTTTTCTTATTTCGACCGGGTTGGCTCCTTGGATGATTTTTTTAAATCCTTCTTTGGCAATAGCTCGCGCCAGCACCGTTGCGGTTGTTGTACCGTCGCCTGCTTCATCATTAGTGTTATTGGCAACTTCCTGTACAAGTTTGGCTCCGATATTCTGAAATTTATCTTCCAGTTCAATGCTTCTGGCAACTGTTACGCCATCCTTTGTGATTTTTGGAGTACCCCAATGTTGTTCTAGAATAACATTTCGTCCCTGTAATTCATTAAACGTTAAGCACCATAATTCAAGATCCGCATTGATAACAGCTAACCTTTGGACCCATAGTGACTGCTACAGCGTCAGCAAGTACGTCGACTCCTTCGAGCATACGTTTTCTTACTTCAGCTCCAAATTTCACATCCTTGGCGTAGGTTCTCGACAAATGTCTGGCAACATTGTTTTTTGCCAATTGAGTTAAACGATACATCTGAAAATTCAAATAAATAAAAAACGAAGCACTACTGTTGAAGATAACTCGATATGTGAAGATAATAAGTATTAGATATAATAAAATGCTATTATAATATTATAATTATATACCATAGTATTTATTGTTGAAAATATTAGATATTTCCATGGAAATCAAATCAAACAAACATATTAAAAGGCAGTCGTTTAAATAAATTGGATAACATTTCAACAGACACCAATGTAACTGAAATATTTTATCATATTTCCCGGAAAATAATTTTAAAAATGCATAATATCTATGACGTCACTAAATGATTTCAAAATTATTTTTATTTTGGAAAAATTTTAACATACGAAATAAACATAGAACGCTTGTACAAATGTAAATTGTAATATTGATAACCGGATTGCCAGAATTCCTTATTATTGTAATTAAATTAAAGAGCAACTTCGCGTTTACTATATTATAAAATTAAATGTCGGTAAACACTCGATAGTGCTGTGTGTGTAAATATAATAAAATTTAAAAAATAATATCTTACTTCGGTGGAATGGAATTGTATACAATATTTTTCGAATAAACGAGATATTATATTTTACAAGATAATTTGTCGCAATCCACTTGACAATTAATTAATTTCATTTGGGGGAAAAAAATGAATAACAAGCCGGCCGACTAAAAAATAATAAATACAAAAGAAATCTAAAAAGTTAACAGACCAACCGCTTAACCGCAACAATCATAGCTATATAGACAGGAAACTTCTAGAAGAAAAATGGTGACCGGAAACAGTGTGACCAACAGAACATTGTCAAGGAAAAAGTGAAAAAAAAACCCGCCAATTTTAAAACTGAATATGTGTTGAACTATATTTTGTTTAAACCCCTAACCCGGCATTGCATCTTTAAAGATACATGTATTTTATTTATAACTTTCCACGAGCAATCTAAAATAGACTATTATTTTTGATATTTAAAAATTATCCCTTGCCAAGTTAAGGGGGCGTGGCACGATTTAGGCATGTTTGAAAAGCAACAAATATTGAGTTGACCTAAATGGAGGAGACGTTTGTCACATTATGATTAAAGGTGTTATGGAGTTTTTATAACGAGGTCATTTTTACATATTGTTGTATTTAATGTGTAACGATTTTTGTTCATTCAGATTGTTTTAAGGTTTTTGTAAATAAAGATGTACATTGCAAAAATTATACAATGTGAAAGAAAAAGAATATGCCTACAAATGTTTTATTTCATAACAATCACCGTAAAATTGATAATTAAAACAAGTCGCACCGGACTAAAAATTTCATTAATGCATTCATAGATTGGTATTATGTATAACACTTTTCATTATTTTCAAATTATAATGAGTAAGTTAGTAAATTAATAAGTTGACTTTACATTTATCTATTATATAATATTATTCTAATAAAATTATTATAAATATATTTGAATGCTTTATTTCATAAAAAAAACTATTTGTTACAATGTATTTGTTAAGAATTCAGCTATATTTTACACAACATTTTTTTTTATCTGTATTTAAATAACTTTTTTTCTACGCCATATAATAGTTTTTCAACACCTAATATTATTTTAAATAATATAATGATACATTATCATTTATTAAGAATTGTTTAAATAGATATTTGAATCGAGCAGAATTAACAATAAGAAAAAGTCTTATAAAAGAGGAATGGTTCGGGTTAATTGTCTTATAAATCCGGTTATTCTCTCAAATTTTTAGTGCAACGCTACTTTATTAACGTTTACATAGATTCGATCAAAAGAAACTGTAGATCGTTGTAAATTCAATAAATTTTTAGTTCTACATCGAAGCTAAAACTAATACAAGTTGATTTTTTAGGAATTTCGCAAGATTCGATAAATGAAATAACGAATCAATAGATTGTTTTTTTTTTTTTTTAAATACACAATATATTAATACAAAATATTATCTTAATATTATTAATAAGTTAAGTAAAAAAAAAAAATTTAAAACAGGAACCATTTTGAGACGCTTTACATATTATAATAAATATATATATATATGTATATAAAACTATTAAGTTTTTATTAAATTCTAAGTAGGATAAAGAAATAATAAAAATAATACAATTATTACTATAATAATAAAATCATCATAATACTTATAAAGTTGAATAAAATAAAATTGAGGATGTATTCAAACGTTAAGTCGATATGACCGCATCATAATTGCCGTCCTCAAGTTACGTGAAAAATTTTGCAAAAAAAATCGAAAACGTCACGTTAATACTAAGTAGGTGTTTCAGTTGGCACGTACAGACATACGTATGAGTTTGGTTGGTGGACAAACGGCGAAGAGCACTGAGCAACGCTGGCCGGATAAACAGGAATCGAACACGGACGATTAGGAGACGTGTTGAAGCAATAGACTTTGCTACAATTGCTCTCGTCGTGGCTGCATGGAGATTTTGGAATAGGCAATTGCATAGATATTGTCGGCTCGTTAGATGGACGGTATTTGACTGAATTTTCGCCCAACACGACCGTACCGCCGCTGGCCAGCAACGGTATTGTTATTTCTGGCGACGAATCACTGGCACAGTTATCCGATTGAGGGAACGGATTTACACCTGAAATACATAAATATATATATACATAAGTATAAAATGTAAATTATTTCAATTAAATGCCAGTTTAGGTGCAAATTAACCGACGTTAAAAAGAGACACAACTCTAAAACTAACATAAATAGAAATTTGTCATGTAAACAATATGCCTAAACTTTCTCATAGTGGTTTTGTAGATGGTTAATTTTGGTTTTGCTTGACATCAATTTTTAACAAATTACTATGAATTATTAACAATTGTGAATGTTTGTGAAAGCATTTAACGGATAAATTAATGCTGCTAGAATTCGGTAGAGAGTCTATCATAGAAGTACTTGAAATAAAAAACTTCTAAACATAAGTTTAACACATGTAAAAGACAAATAAATGTATAATATTATATTCTTTCCATACTTTTGAAAAAATGAAACCAACACTTTTAACGTTAGATATTAGTTTTGTAATTATTTATATTATATTAATAAACAATTGTATATTAATTAGATTAGATTTATGTGCAAGAATATCTGACCAAACTAGCGTCGTTTTTAAATAGTCAAGTTTAAAAAATTACCCGTACAATGTGCCTAATTTTTAAGACCACATTAAAAAGTAAAAAATTTTTGGCCTGTGAAATACATATGATTTTGTTAAAAAAACAAATGGTATTTTGTAAGAATTATTATAATAAATTTCTCTTGGAATTGTTACAATTAAATTACTATATAAGAAATCTTCCTCGTTTGGAGGCAATTATAGTTTAAAGTAGGCCGTTAAAAAAAATTTTATACAAAGGAAAATGTTTTTACATTTTATTATTTTACAACCATTTTGTTGAAGACAAGAAAAACGTTTTGAATCCACAATGATAACATAAATATGAGTATTTTAAATAGAAAAATATTAAAACTTTTTTATGTAAGAAAAAAAAACAAATTTGTGTATATAATATGTAAATATTATTTTTACGGTGTTAAAAAGCAACAATTATTATTTCTAATAAAAAAAATCCTCCTTACAATTTTATGTTGAGGCTTATACATTTGTAATGTATAAGATATATTTGATAACAATCAAACATCAAACTATTAAAAGGAATAATGTAAATGTCTACATTTTTTAAGTATATTTTTTTGTTAATTGGGCTTGTTTTAAAAATATTGTTAAAATATTTCTAATGTAGACTTAAGGTTCACGGTCAAAAAAAAAAACTGAACCCGTTAACTGAAAAATAATGTGATCTTTCCAAACAATATAATACGATATAAGTTGTTGATTTTTATATAAATATCTAAAACCTGTGTCTTTAACTTTATCAAAGTCCGATAATTATCATGGCAGTCGTATAATGTTTATCGTTTTGAATGATGACAATATTATGACGTTTCAAATTAGTAAACCTTGAGATTAGAAGTAGTTTCTTTCTGAATAGAACAAACTCTTCACTCTCAAACTTACATTCATTGTATAGCTGCTCTTGACTTCTTTTCGGAGAATCACCGGTGCCGCTGTCTTTGCTGTTAGTCGAGTTTAACGATTTATCATCGGCGATATTGTTCGTTAAATTCAATGTCGGACGTCTCGTTCGGTAAATGAACAAAACCCAAATGGCCGACGTAATGACAACACACACAATTACCGCGATAATAACCAATCCCAGAGCGTACTCATAGATCAGGCTTCGATAAACTAGAAAGATAAAAAAAAAAAAAATGAATTATTTATCTAAAGTAATAAAAATATTTACATTTCATACATGCAGAGTTTAAACTGGACACTAGATGTCAAATTTATTTTTTAAAATGTGCACAATATACAAAATAGTAACAAATATGTTGTAAATAATTTTTATAATGTTAATAAAAAAAAACGCTTGCAAACTCACATGGCATAATCATAACTTCAGCTTCTTGCTTTTTTATTCCTAACGAATTAGCAATTTCACACTGGTAAGTGCCCGAGTCTTCTACGTTCGATTCCATTATGACCAACAGTTGGTCCTCGGCAGTAAAAAAATGTCTGTTGCTCGGAGCGAGAGGATATCCGTTTTTCAGCCATTTGATTTTTGGTCTGGGGGAACCGTGGCTAAGACATTCCAAAACTATTTCTTCTCCCACTCTGACTTGTTTGCTGTACATAATGTTTCCAAAAGAGGGAGGTTCTAAAAAATTTGACAGAAAAAAAACATTTTCATCAATACAGTACATAACCTACGAAAAAAAAACAAAAGCAGCCGTACCCAAGACGGTAAGTGTTGCGTTGGCCGCTGTTGTTCCGGCAACATTTTTCGCCGTACAACTATAGACACCCATGTCTACTAGTTTCACGTTGACGATGAAAAATACATCGTCTTTTGCCATCACTTTCATACGACGTTCTTGAGCAGCCGGAAAATCGTTACCACCGTCTTTCTGCCACGATATTTGTGGAGCCGGATACCCATTGGCAGCACATTCTAATCGGGCGGTGTAGCCGGTTTTAACCGAACTGTTATCGGGCACTTTTATGAAAACGGGAAACACTACAAACACAGAATCAACGAAAAATGTTTTCTTCTAAATTTTGTCAACATAACTCATTCAATTTTTTAAAATCTCAAGTAACAATACTTACCGACAATGGACAACAAAGAACGATTTGAGTATGCAATGCCAAACTCGTTGGAAGCGACACATTGATATTTACCGCTTTGCGTCATTGAAATATTGTTCAGAGTCAACGTAGTATATTGTGTTACGCCATTGTACTCAAATGACGAATAGTGAAAATGATTCATCGACAACGAGTCCAAATCGTGGTTGTCTTTTTTCCATATGAAATGCATTTTCGCACTCGAAGAAGAATTAACTCCACATTTTAAAGTGATGTTTTGTCCTTCCAACGCCATTTTTGATTCTGGATGAAGTACAACCGAAGGTTTTGGACTCTCGGTCACTAAAAATATTATTATAGAACAGGGTTGAAAATAATTATATAAAAATTTAAAAAAACACTCTACATTTGATAAAATACTAACAACGCTTGAAATCGGCTGCCGGAACTTGTTCTATACTTTTTCCTCGGTTGACCTCGGGAAAACCGCAATAGGCGTTTATGAAGTTGAGCGATAACGGTCCGTTGACAATTGGCTCTTTCAACCAAGCCAAGGAACTGTCGCACACTAGGGATGAAGTATTCAGGTACAAGTAAACAAGACGAGGCATGTATCTAAACGAGCCCTCCTGCATTTCCACAATGTTGTTGCGGAGTAAATTTAACTCGTCTAAATTTTCCAAACCGTAAAAAGCGTCTTTTCTGATGTACAATATCTTGTTGTCGGCCAAACTTAATTTTTTCAAATGTTTCAGTCCGTTAAATGGTCCTTTCGCGTCTTCAATCATCCACGCCAAATGGTTGCGATCCATATTTCTAAAGGAAACATAAAAAAATAATAATGAAAAAATTCACAGCGATCAGACAAAATCCAATGAAACTTAAATTTGTTTTGTTTAAAAATTTACTCAATGTTTTAATTTATTTAATATTTCCACCAGAATAGGTACTTTTCCATTAAAAAAAATATAAATTTATAATATTAATTATAATATTATTTATAGTATTTTTATTTTAACAAATTTAAATTATTATAAAAGTATTTAAATACTTAATTATTTCAAATAACTTATATTATTTGTAACAGTAATTAAAAATGTATTTCAATTAAAATCAGTTATTTCACGTGCTTAAAAACAATTGTATTTAAATAATTTATTATAATATGTAATTTGTTGATCAAAGGAGAATTGCCGTGATCTAATTAAGACTTACAGAGTTTGTATCAATGGTGTGTTGTTAAAAGAACCTTCTTCGATAAACGATATTCTGTTGTTGTCCAAGTATAACTTTTGTAATTTTCTCAAATTTTCTAGATTATCTTTTTCTATGGATTGTAATTTATTGTTGGACATATCGCTGTACCAGGAAAAAATATTATTTTAAAAATGATTTTATTGTTACCGCCTCCGTTTTTTTTTTACAAATTTTGTTCCAATTACTTACAGTTCTTCCAACTCTGGGCAATATTCCCAGCCATTTTTTATTTGATCTATTTTATTGTGACTAATATTCAAATAGACGAGTGAATTCAGTCCGTACAGCCAGCCTTTAGACACTTTGCTTAAGCTGTTACTTTCCAAATGTCTGAAATCATACAAGAATTAATCAATAATGAATTAATATTAACAATTCTATAATATATTTTGTAAACATTGCTAGACTATCACATAATGAGTCTTTTTCTTAAAAAAATAAGTACAAAAAAATATAAACATTTGGTTTGTTAACATGTTTAAGGTATGTATAGGTTATAATATTTTTGTATATATAATTTGTTAATTAATTTTACTTAATTTGTTATAATTAATTAATCTATACCAACGTCATTCAAAATTGAGTCGACAAAATGTTTTCATATAAGTGTAATTGTTAAATTTGCAAGAGTCAAAATATGATAGTTTATTTCAATAGTCATCTAAATGCTTTTGGAGAGTTCAGAAAAAAATAATTTTTATCCATCGATATTTATAAAGCATCTAAAACCGACTACTTCAATCAAATATAGGCAATTTTTATTAAATAACAAATAATGAGTTACAGATTTAAAATACATTTTTATTTAACCGTATCAAATGATTTTTAATTTGAAATAATTTAGTACTGTCACAAATAATAAAACACAACAATTTCATTTTTTTTTGTTCACAAAATAAAATAAATTATATAATTAAATAACTTTTTTAACTTCATTATTATATCAATGAAAAAACATTTGAGTCAAATATGATTATTTAATTTCTTATTTAGTCATAACATCAAAACTATATTTAAAATCATTATTTCAATTTTTGTTAAAAAAAAAAAAATAAAGTTGTATGTATTTTTTTAAGTTACACTTTATTATTTTATTAACCATTTGAATTGGTATAAAAAAAACGCCCAGGTTTGACTTGGATTTATTTTATTGTACTTACAATGAACGTAAATTTGATAAACCATAAAACGATCCATCTAATAAATCTTCAATATTATTTTGTCTTAATATGACGGTCTTCAGGTTTCCTAACTCTTTAAATAAAAGACCTTCAATGACAGTAATATGGTTTTTACTTAAATCTCTGAAAAATAATTACAAACAATTAACTAATACTCAGTATTGGTTGTACGTATTTTGAAAATGGGTTTTATACTCACAGCAATTCTAGGTGCTCTAATTTCTTAAACACTCCAATGGGCATATTTTTCAGTCTATTGTGATATAATTTTAATTCTACAAGATGGTTCAGCGGGTCAAAACAATTTGTACTTATATTCGTAATGAGATTATTGTTTAAATTCCTAGAGAAATAAAAAAATATAATATAATGAAAGCATAATACAAGTAATCGGTTAGTTTGTTATATAAGTTAATTTTCATTACTAACAGCGTTCGCAAATGATTCGACGGAGGAAATGTATTGTCCGTTAACGCTGTTAATTTATTTTGGTTCATATCTAAACTTTTTAAGTGAGGCAAATTTTCCAAAGCTCCGTAATCTAATTTATCGATTTTATTGTGCGCTCTGGAAAATAATACAGTGGTGTTTTTAATAAATACTAAAAAAAAGAAGGAATAAACGAAAGTTGTTACTAACAAGTTTAAGTTGTTGACACTGGTTTTGTTTATAAAATACGGGAACGTGACGATGGCATTTTTATTCAATTTGCTGGAAAATAAAATCATCATATTTTAGTTATTTATTTAGTAATCTATATTATGTAATATTAAATACTTACAGCGTTGAAAGACGTAAATAGCTTTCAATTGTAATTTTTACATTGCCTCCAATTTTGTTGTTGCTTAAATCTCTGCAAATGGTAAAAAAACAATAATATTACACAAAAACGTAATGTTTTTTTTTTTTAATTATGTGAACAATATTTTAATAACAAACATCAATAGTTATTGTAATTTCTTAAAATCCACAGTAGGTAGTTCAATTATCAAAAATATGTTTTATATTATTTCACGAGGAACTTTCATAATTTAACAGTTACTACGTTGTGCTAAGGGATCTATTATAGTAGTCGCGCTACGTTTTAAAATTAGAAAGACATTGCATTCAAACTGACTTAATGATTTTAGGGAATTGCATGCGGTCTATTTTTTTGTTGTTTTTTAAAATTTTAAAGATTTCAGTTCTGTAAAGCAATCTGAGTTTTTTTTTTTTGACAACTTTACTAGGTTATGTAGGAAACAGATTTTTGGTGTCTTTATATGTAAAAATATCAAGAAATAAGTTGAAAAGACTAAATGTGTCGCTCAATCAGCCCAAAGCAGATGACTGTGAAGATTGTGTAAATCTTACAAACATACACAATATAGTCGAGTGTAGGCATTTCTCGTAATTGTTTCATCACGTACAAATAATCGCCCGTATACACCACTTATTATCGTCCGTTTTAAATTCGAGCGTATACGACTAATGAACTAACAAAACTTGCTTGAGAATATTTTAAATAGTCCGTGCACACTACTTGTTATGGTCTGTTTTAAGCTGGAACGCATACAATTTTACGTATAAGTTACAAAACGTATACAATAGAATTATTTATAGAATATACAGTAGCCTGTGTCGATTAATTTTTTTCGCGTTGTTCTTCCTAGGGCATGTTCACAGAGTATTCAAATTTTTTTTTTTAATTTTGTATAATACATTTTTATAATTTTACAGGTGGTTCAGCACTTAATAAATGTATTGCCTGTCTAAAGATTAAGATAGTTTTGGTCTAAAATATACCAAAATGGCTTTTACTCATAGAAAATATGATTTTAATTAAAAATAAATCCTTGAAGTTATATACAAATCAACTAATATGGTTGAAATTTATTAAAATCTCATTTTTTTTATAAATAATGACTATTATACAAAACTCCTTTAAAACATACCGCATGCAATTCCCTCAAACAAAAAATAATTCACCAAAATTAAAGTTATTTTTATTCGTATTTAATACTTATACCAGCTACAGATTCAAAAAATAGTTTTTTTTTTTGTTGGTAATTTGATTTATAGGTAAGAATTACGACAAATATTAGTTAAAATTTTATATTAATATTCCTACCAAATCTACAGATTCGCATTGAAGCCCTTATTTAAAAGAAATATTATCACTTCAAGTTATAACGTTAACCTGTAACCTATCCGATCCTAATATGCTCTGGTTCCTCTGTGCTGGTTTTTTTTTTTAGTATGCATGTTTGAATATCAAATTATCCAATTTGAATTACTTGTAATGTGTTATTGTTAGATATAGGGTTATTAACAAACATTGACAAACCAAAAAAAAAAACAGGGGGGTAAATTACTGAAGCCCAGTAATGTCTAATTTCTGATATTAACTATAGATAAAATATTGCTTAACAACTATAGTATAAAGTTGTTAATTTTTTTTTTATTCTAGGTACGTTATGTTAGTACTATAAGTTTCGGAATGAGTCATAAATCATTTTTTTCTCATTTTCTCCTTACTCCTCATAGTTTTATAATATTATGTTAGCGAATAAAAGTTATAATTTTCATTCAGTGTAATTATCAAATTGTTATACTACGACTTTGGTGTTACAATGATAAATGGTGACGATAATACTTAGGTACTCACAGGGACTCCGTCCATGGCGGCAATGGCTCGGGCAGTTTGTTTACTTGTTTGCCACTGCAGTCCACATAGGTGTCCAGGCATTGACATTTCTTGGGACATTCGTTTTTGCCATTGCATATTGCGTTCTCGTGAAATAGAATTAGCCAGAGCAGCCAATAGGTACTTAACATGGTGATTTACGAGACTTTTTGTTTAAACGTCACGTCGTTTCGGTTAACATTTTTTGAAATTAAATTAATTTGTTCTGAACTGTTAAAGATTTAGGTTTTTTTTTTTGTTATTGTGTCATTATGATGTTTTTTAAGACATTTTAAGCGTATCATCATCGACACACGACGAACGTAATGGAAAAAACACTGGCATTGCTCGAACGCGACGACACCATTGTCGCCTTAAATACTTACGACGCTAATAAAAAAAGGACGTTTAAAAATATAACTTGAAGGAAAATAGTTCACGGTTATTATATTGTTGGAATGGCCTTTTTTGTTTTGAAAATTATCTACACATATTTTTGTGTATACCTACTCTACACTGAATATAACATTATACACAATACGGTGTTATCACACATTTTTCCGTAACCACTATTGTACCACGAAAACGTTTCCAAGGAGATTATACAGTACTCGTGCGCGTTAAGTGGTCATTGCACCTACAGAATAATAATATGTGGTGTGCCGTACAAAGAAAAATATATTGTAATAATAACATATATTATAATAATATATGTTTTCTACCTACAAAAAAAAAATGAACAAGTAATTTATTATACATAAATAATACCCGGTTGAATTTATAACTGTGTGGATTGCCGCAGAAAACTCTAAGCACGACAGGTGAAATATATATTTAATTATTATTACAATAATATAATTTTACGGATTTCAAATAAAATATGTCGATTGTGGAATGCCTATCGGGGTGTAGGTAAGTTTAGGATGAATAAAATTTGCATAACAAAACGGCCGTTATTTGAAAAATATTAAATGATTTGCGGCTAACCTGTTTTGTATCGTAAAATTTTATTGCACAAAAAAAAAAACATAATATTTCCTACCCACCAAGTTTTGTCCCAATTATTTAACAGGACACTTACTTTAGGGACACTTTATTCGTGGTTCATTTTGTTTTATCAGGCAACATTAACAATGGTTTTCTTCAAAAACACCTTCTTGCTTACACATTGCCGAGTTCAGCTTTCCTAAAAATCTCAGTAGAAAATATTTTATTAGCTTTTGGGAAAAAATACAGAAACTTAAACTGTGTCCCCTCGAAGTGTTTTTAAAAATAATTATTGTAAAATTCAAATCGTTATTTAAGTTTTAAAACAATTTTTTGTCGACATTTTTTTTTTATATCTACTAAGTAATAATTTAAGGGGCCTCTACACTTAGATTTATTAAGGCGCATTGTATAGGCAATTTTTCGCTTAAACTTTACATTAATTTTTAAACATACATATTACCATAGGAAAGAAGTATCTAATTAGAAGTATCTTAAAGATCTTATATTAAACAAGTATCTTTTGATAATTAACTTTTACAACGCATATAGGATCTAATTTTGTACAAAAACACATGTTTCTACTTCTCAAACGTACTGTCCTTAAGGAATACAACGATTTAAGTTTAAAAACAAAAAACACTTGAATTCTTTACAACATTATTAAGGCATCGCGGTCGTGGCACAATTTTAAAATTATTTTTAGTTAATTAATTATTTCAATATAAAAAAATGCAATTTTAAACTTTTTTAAACGAAAACTTTTAGATATAAAACCTCTGTAAAAAATTGGAGAATAGGTTTAATTAAAAAAATTAATATAGAATATATTTTAATTTTGTTTGAAATATTTGAAAAGTTTTATTACACAGGCCTATAGTTTCCGTGTATTAATTGTGTTGAAAACTATTAATTTAAAATGCATCTTATTGATTTAATAAACTTACCAAATAACTTGTAACGATGAATTAGATGAAATAACAGCTGTTACAAAAGATCTGTTCTTAAAAAGGGTTCAACAGAATTTTGGAGGTATAAGTATTTTTTTTTTTAATTCATGTCAAATACTAATAGTATGTACATGTATAAAATAATATTTTGTATTTTTCAATTAAAATATAAATTATATTATATCTACAAAACGTTTAGAATATCGTCAGTGTAAATGAAAACATTTTTTTTTTTTGTCAAACCAATGGCGTTTATATTGTCTAAAATAACACGGAGATGACAATCTGTAATAAAATATTTTTTTTTTTTTATGGACTACCTATTTGCTAATTTACAAATTGGCAGGCATACAAGTGCTCTGGACAGGCGAATCACGTAACAATGAAACAGTTCAGATGGTTTAGGTTAGATAATAGGTATAATCATCATTTATATTAAATTCTTTGTACGTTTGGACCAGTGTCATAACGCGACGGTCGTACTAGGTAGTTGATTTATGTCCTTCGCGATGTGTTTATTTTTTAAAACTTAATGATTAGGTTTTTTTTTTTGGACAACTAGTTAACTTGTGGTAATTAGATATTACATAGATTCGTAGAACGATTCTACATTTATTTTTCAGGTGAGCGTTTTTAAGATTTCAACATATACTTACATCCCATGTACGGAGGATGTACCTACAACCATACTCCTTTGATCTGCCCAATAAATTATCTTAAAATATTCTAATGAAAAAAATGACTGGATAGAAAAAAAATAATGTAAAAACCAGTGCATATTCGTATCTCTATTTGTTTTAAATGGGTTTAGTGTTTACCGATAATTAATTTTGTGGTTTGGACCTAAAAAAAATATCTTCTGTTATCAATTTCGATTGACGGGGTCAAATATACTTATTTAAAAAAAATTCATAATTCAAAATAGTACTGTAGCCTGTCCTGATCTGTTATTTCCCGGCATTGCCGATAATACTGTTTGTCCGTGTATGTAGCCTGATTTTTGTATAATATTATTATATGGGCAACTATGCAATCATAACAAGGAATAGGTAAATAATAACATAATACAATATGTGCTTTCGAAGATAATATGCGCACCCGCAGGCCGTACAGTACACCATAAAGTAGGCGAACTCGTGCAGTTTACGTTGATTGGAAAAAATGGCAAACGGTGTAACATAATGATAGTGATATTTACTTTATATACATATAATAATAAATAATATCGTTATTATCGACAAATAATATTTTTCCGTGTTATTATTATACAGGCGGATGAAAAAAAAAATCCGTTTATGACGTTGTTTTGTGCGGGATATTAGGTATAACGATATTGTTGTATCGGCTGTAAAGATCCACTGAAATGTCATTTCCATAGTATAATAATATGTGTTTAGCAATGTACTATATTGTAATAATAATAATACCGTAAAATGGCCATTGACTCTAAATCTCTTGTGTGTATTATCCGCTATATATAGGTGTATAATGTGTATATTATATGCGTATATATATATTATGCTATTATTGTACGAAAACCCGTACAAAACGGCGCGTATTAGCACCTCGTGTATAGTAGTAGGTAATAAATAATAATAATTGTTTATTTATGTGTCGTTGTCCGAACGGGCGTTACTTGTGTGTACTATAAAATATTATACTATTCACAGAGATTGTACACAAACAGTATTCAATATATTGGACGGACGCGCTTACTCGAAAAGCACTCATTGTGTTCTGGGACAAAAGTATTTTTTACAATTTTACTTTTTTATCAAAATCATCGATACCGACTTCCGGGTCGGTTGAAAACGGGTCGTGTAACACACAATTTCGGGGATTTGATCGACTACCTAAATTATTATTTTCATGTACCTTATCCAAAAACAGATGTAAATTATTATGAAAGCATCATTAGTTTTTGTCAATATTGTGCCTAACAATTATTGTTGGGCCATTTCATAATATTCAAGTGGCTGTATCGATACTATTTGAACAGTGGACGTCTGCGCATAGGTTCCAGAAGGAGGAGTGGTGGAGGACAGATGAGGTTTTTCAACCTAATCTATTCTCTAAGTACATGTTGGTTTGATAATAGGTTGTGTGCTAAACGGACGACAGATTTGTAAACAATTACTTTTGGCGATTACGTTAAGTTTGACAAAAGCGCAAGTAAAAAATTCAAGCGATTTAAGTATACACGGTTGGTGAAGCTATTCTAGAAATGGTAATTTTTCAGGCGGCCCATCTAATTGTATTCAATTCTGTATCTGTAATTAATTTTTTTAACTATGCACATACTTGTAAATTAGATTTATCGCATAAATAAAACTATTATTATTATAAACTTCAACTCGGAGTTTAACTATAGTAGGTTATCTTATGTTTGTACTAGACGTTTCACATGGGCGATTAATTTCGTTTAATAGGACTTGGGTAGAAATAGGGGAAATTTGGCTCACATCCAGGGCATCAATATTTAGAAATTTAGGGAGTATTGGCACAGAAAACATTATCCACATGACCATATTTATACGTCATTAAATAGGAATAGAGCGCACACCACACTTTCTAGCCGTTAATCGTTTTGTCATTTTAATTAAACGTTAATAATATTTCACCATTTTTGGACCGATATGGGTTTATTCGAAAATTTACTAAGATACACCTCTTGATTAATCTACGTTCCGGGTAGAAGGATATTTTCAAAATTATCATTTTTTAAGTATAATATTGAAAAAAAAACATTTAAACGTAAGTCAATTTTTTAATTAAACATTCAACGTGTAACGTAAAAAAGAGAATCTCAAAAATGTATCTTTACGGTAGTAACGTTGGTCGTGGACCGAGTTGTTCTTATTAAATTTTTGTAATCGTTTGTTTTAACTTATCTGCAGTAGTCGGTCGACTGTGGGATGTGAAATATGTGGATTTATTTAATCTAATATCCCGTTTGCGCGACAGACAAAGGACGCTCATTTTGTTTGCGGCCTACACTTAATTTAATAATTTTTTTATTTCGTTCATCGGTAATAGTTCCCCGATGACGACGGAGTAATCCAAAAAATGTAATAACAAAATATTATGATATATTTTCAACACTCGCATTTTTGTTTTTGTTTTTTCTAAAACATAACATCACAATATAGTGGGAATATTATTACAGCGACTAGCGTATCAAATAACCTCGTTTAATACACACAAATGGCCAATAATTAGAGTTTTATTATACCATTTTCTAAGCCCCTTATTCAGCCTTGTACATTTTTCGAATAACACAGTTTAGAATACAATTATTTAAATATTTCCATTTTATTCGAATACCGTTTAGTGTATAATTAAGTATTAATTAATTGATATTTTTAATTGGCTTGAAAGTATTTTTTAAATATTTTTTTTTTTTAGGCTTGATGGCACGTTTGAATTCACAAGATTACCCGAAATAATGGATTATTCTTAATTACCTATGTGTTTTCCAATTTTTTAGGTGAAGTTTTAGGGCTCGAGTTCTGAGTTCAATATATTGTTATATAATCGTATCCTCTCCAATATTGAAAGTATAATTATTTTAAAGCACACTATAG